CCTCACCTCCACCTCTAAATCTCCTTTCCCTATCACCATCACCACGGCCGTGGATCCGTACCGATTCTTCCAGTCCACAACACTCATCATACATGGTTCCTCCGATGATACGATATCCTTCGTCTTCTCATAAGTCATATGAATGTAACGGGCAGTTGTATGGTCACCCTCCAAGTCCAGGGATAGATCCTCAATCTGTCATAAATCCGATATTCAAAGTGGTAAGTAAGCAAAGCTCTAGTTCTACATCTTAAGTAGAGCTGACTTCCATCTTAGACTCCATTACCAACATCGCCCAGTGATCATTTATCATCACCACATTCTCTCCCCCCATTTTCTCAACTGGAGGCAGTTGCAGAAGGGGAATACCCACCATTATCGCCCATGTCCTTCCATTCGCCGGAAGATGACTGATGCCGGTGGCATCACCACTCTCCTTTTGGTTTTATTTATCAGGTCTTGTGAGGTTAGGAACGTTCAACCGGTGGACATATAAACCATTCATTGCTACATCTGTTCGTTCTTACCGCCCGGCGCCCTCTAAACCGTATCTCACCGAACCCAGGAGGTTGATCGGGCATATCGCCCGGATTCACTGTGACTCTAGTATTCCTCCTGGTTTATCTTACCATACTTACCCCATTCTAGTAGCATATTTACTCTGGTTGGGCGTTGTAGAGCGCCGCTGTACTTTTACCCATATTTGCAATAGGCGGCAATCAGAAACATGCAAAGCATTGTTTAACACGGGATGAAATATTTAATCTAGTCATATGCCAGGCGCTGGTGGACAGCCCGTGCTAATTATATAGCTTGACAACCTGCGCATTCTACTTAGTGGTCATGCGGAGCTTGTTCAAAGCGGAGGCCGCTGGAAGTCGTATGTGAGTTCGAAGTCCGGCCAGAAAAAATAGTCACATACCAGTAGCTAAAGGTAAAGTACAACAAATTTGTTAGTAGTGACAATCAAGCCAACCCATGACAATACTTACCCGCATGGCCGAGCACCAGGTTTGTCCTGCAAAAGAATGTCAATTATAAAACAGCGTCCAGAAGTATCAACACAAACCAGGTTGATGAATATCTTGGGATGGCCAAGAGGTCCTCCTCCTGCAACAAATTGTCGCACCGACGCTCAAGTTGAGAAGAAAAAGTATTACGGACCACCATCACAAACAGCTTTCCGCCCATGCACAACACGGATAGGTTCATTGTTAATCATCTCCATTGCGCTCAATGGGTTGGGCTGGAGTTCGAGAACAGTCTGCTCAAAACGTGGACCTGACTGGGCGACCGCGCGAGGTCTCTGGCTGGTTGTCCATGTCGTTGGATAATTGGGTGCTTGGTTCGCGACGGGTGATGGAGAAGCGGGTATAGGTGTTACATGGTTTGCGGAAGAAGAAGAAAAGCGGCTTAGCACCTTCAGCTGAGAGGCGCGATGTATCAGACGACGGCTAAGCATGGTCACGGTTGCGGACATCGAGACCGCGGTCGAACCCGAAAGCGAGAAATCTCGCAAGAATTTCGCCAAGAAAGGAAAATCTTCATATTCCTCCTAACTACGCTACAGTACTAGCCCGTCGTGCATATTATGATACAGTGCTTGGGTACTATAATACAGAAGTGCACACGTTCCTTAATCCATTTCTTCTATTTCAATGTCATTATCTTCATTCCAATCTTCATCCATTGCATCAACATCGGCCTGGCCTTCATGATTGGGTACGACAACAAGTTTGTTGCGGGGGGCGTCGAACCGAATATTCACAGTCTCCCCATCGCGAATGCGGTCAGAAAGTAGCATCACCGACAAGGGATTCAGGAGATCGCTCTGGATGGCGCGGTTAAGCGGTCTTGCTCCGTATGTCGTCGAGTACCCGATGGACACTAAGTATCTTTTTGACTCGTTATCAATGTCGAGTACTATTTTCTTCTCGGCTAGACGGTCTTGGACCTCCTTGAGCCTCAAGTCTACGATCTTGAGCATACTGCTTCTGGAAAGTGCACGCTATATCATAGTGTAAGAAATTTAGAACCTAAAATGCATGCTATGCGGTGACTTACAAAGACGACAATCTCATCTATACGGTTGATGAACTCGGGTGGGAAGTGGCCCATTATTGCCCCCATGACTAGCTGCTTGGTCTGCGGAGTTACTGGACCCTGACCTACGTCGTTCAAGTATGCAGCACCGAGATTTGACGTCATGATGATAACGGTATTCCGGAAGTCGACAACGCGGCCCTGGCCATCAGTGAGTCGGCCATCGTCGAGAACTTGGAGGAAGAGTGTGACGAATTCTCGCGAAGCCTTCTCAATCTCGTCGATGAGGACGATGGAATAGGGTTTGCGCCTAACATATTCGGTGAGTTGTCCTCCGGCGTCATGACCAACATAGCCAGGTGGGGCGCCGATAAGACGTGCGATAGAATGCTTCTCAGAATATTCAGAACCATCGATGCGAATCATAGCATCAGGGGTGTCAAAGAGAATGGTAGCGAGCTGCGAAGGTTTCGGTCGGTGACCGTAGTTATGACGGAGTTACATCAACTTACCGTCTTACTGAGCAACGTTTTTCCTGTGCCAGAAGGACCGGCCATCAAAAAGCTGGCAATAGGCCGCTGAGCATTAGCCAGTCCACTTCTCGAGAGCCGGATAGCGTTGGCGACAGCTTTCACAGGTTCCGGCTGACCAACAACGTAATCGGCAAGGATACGTTCCATGCGAAGGAGTTTCTCCTTTTCGGTTGACATCAAACGTGTGACTGGAATAGCCGTCCACCGTCCGACAATTTCTGCAATCTGTTCAGGAGTGACGGTATCTGTGCCTCCACCAATCTTGGCGTCCTCTTCGAACTTTTTGGCTTGAAGGGCCTCCAGACGATTCTGGAGGTCTGGCAGGGCATAATAGCGAAGGTCAGATGCAGTTGCAAGGTCATATCTAATATGTGCTGTAGTCAGGAGATGCTCGATTAATCCAGAATGGCAAGCGCACCTTCTCTCTGCCTCGTCGGCCTTAGCGCGTAAATTGTCGATCTTCCTCCGCACTTCGTTGATTTCGTCGCCTTTGCGCTTTTCAGCCTCATAGGCAGCCCGAAGCGGTTGTAGTTCGTCATCAACATCGGCAATGGCTTTGCGAGCCACACTCAGACGCTCCTGGCTGGCCTGATCCTTCTCGCGTTCCAAAGCATGAATTTCAACCTCCAGTTCGAGCTTACGACGTTGAAGCTTGTCGATGGATTCAGGTGCTGTCTCTCGGGTAACACGAACACTAGCACAATTCGTTAGGTAGTTTCATAAGGGTATTAAGGAAACATACCTTGCACAAGCTTCGTCGACAAGATCAATGGCGGCATCGGGAAGACGTCTCGAAGTCAGATATCGATGGGCCAGAGTGGCAGCAGAGATCAGGGCACCATCCAAAATTCGAACACCATGATAAACTTCATACTTTTCCCGAATGCCTCTGAGAATGCTAATCGTCTCGGAAACACTAGGTTCGTTCACCAAAACTTGTGCGAATCTCCGTTCCAGAGCAGCGTCTGTCTCGATATACTTCCGATACTCGCTCAGCGTGGTAGCCCCAATACAACGCAGCTTGCCTCTAGCCAGAAGCGGTTTGAAGAGGTTGCCTGCATCCATGCCACCACCTTCGGCACCTCGACCAGCCATGATAAGGTGAAGCTCGTCCACAAATAGAATAATAGATTGGCCGTCCTCGGATGATTTTTCCACTTCGCTCAAAACTGACTTGATGCGTTCCTCATACTCGCCTTTGTACTTCGCACCAGCCATCAACGCACCCATATCAAGCGAAAACAGGCGCCCAATGAGGGTTGCTGGCACGTCCCGGTTAACGATACGCTGAGCAAGACCCTCCGCTATCGATGTCTTTCCAACACCAGGCTCGCCAATGAGCACAGGATTGTTCTTTGTTCTGGACAGGGTAAGTTTAGAGGTGACTACCGACAGAAAAATGTGAATCCTACCTTCTGCAAAGAATACGAATTATCCTACGGATCTCATTATCTCTGCCAATCACAGGGTCGATTTTCCCTTCTTCGGCAAGAGCAGTCAAGTCGACCGCATATTTCTGCAAAGCGTTGAATCCTGCCTCTGCGTTCTTGCTTTCCACTCGACGGTTTCCTCTAGTCTGCTCGGTAGCTGTTTTCAAGGCGGCCTCAGTGAGACCAGCGTCCTTGATGATAGAGGATATCGATGGGTCCTTTAGAAGTGCGAGAATTATATGATCCTGCGCGATGTAGGAGTCGTGCATGGTTTTCTGGAGTGACTGGGCCTCGCGCAAAACCTTCAATGCACTAGCGCTCATGGAGATCTCCTCCGGAGATGGAGATTGTGAGGGCAGTCTGACGATGATCTTCTGAAGTCCACGTTTTACAATGACCTGTCATAGGGGTGAGGTGGCATACCAAGCCGGTACACGCAGACACGTACTGGATCACCACCAGCCTTCTGTATAACAGAAGAAAATAGGGAGCTTGCACCAACATTGGACAGACTAGTTGGTAATCATCTCCCGCACCCTCGTTCAGGAGAGCTGCGGCGATATGTGCAGGGTGAACTTTGGAGAACGAGTAAACAACAAATAATTATCAGTAGAATATGTACACATACCTTGGGCATGAGAATAATCCTTTGCGAGTTGAATGGCAGCCGACAAAGATTGTTGGGTTTTATCTGTGAAGTCGAAGTTCATGGTGAAGGCGAAAAGCGAACTGAGGTTGGTGACGACGACTCCTTGCCTGGGCTACCTTTTTATCAACCTTGCCTAGTTGTAGTATGATCCAGAAGTAGGGAAAGAGTTACACTCCTTTATCGAACATTGCAGAACTTGCTGGTGATATCATCACACGTGGCAATGCAGGCCTAGGTCTTAATGACGCGGTTGTGACGCCGGTATCAACGGGCGCCTAGTTATGTAAGCACCTGTTACACCGTGACACGAATCCAGACTACCGTCTGCACCTACCCTCTTCTCCAATGGTCGCATTGGATACTGTCTGGCCCGCAGATTCGATCGAGTTTTGCCCTCACGAGAGTGCTTCTGATATCTTTGTTTGCGGGACCTATCGATTAGAACAGCCCCTCGCCGATACCCAGGTGCACACAGATGACAATATAGTAGATTTCGAACCTACGGCGAGAAAACAAAGTCAAGTCCGTCGTGGAAAGTGTCTTGTATTGCAAGTGACAGAGGACAGAGGAGTGTAAGTAAGCGAATCGATTCCTGCGAATCACTGGTTCAACGTCTATCATCAAGTTCCCAGATTCAGGAAATCAGTCTTCCAGCTGTCCTCGACCAGAAATGGTGAGATCCGCGTTGTATGCTTGAGTCGTATCAAACGTCGATATCTGCACAATCGTAGGTGTCATACTTCTCGAACAGCCTCTCCAGTACTCGGAATTGCAGACTCGGAAGGGAATGTTACCCTTCACGAGTGGCACAAAGAAGAGGTATGTTTTAATGTATTTCAATCGCATAAATCGTGACTGAGTAATTTTAGCGCCAGCTCAAAGCATTTCAGAGCGTATCCTGTGCAACCTCAGACGTTCTGTGCCTTTCCCTGGACTGGTCTACCCGAAGATACCCCACGAAGTACGCTAGCTCAAGAGACTGCAGGCAATTCTGACCCAGGATTCTGAGACAGCAATCACGGTTCTCTGGTAGTTTCCTTGTCAAATGGATCACTGTGCGTTCTGAATCCTGATTCAACTGGCAACTTGACTATTGTCAACCGGTGGCGCGCGCACGATTACGAACCTTGGATTGCTGCTTGGAACTATTGGGATACATCCATCATTTATTCGGGTGGAGACGACCTAACCATGAAGGGCTGGGATGTCCGACAGAATTTTATCCAGCCCATCTTTACAAATAAGCGGCATGTAATTATCTCCACATGTTCTGTTTGTTTCTCATACCCTCGAAGATTTAACGCAGGTGTCACAACTATTCAGAGCCATCCACACATCGAATATCTCATAGCCGTCGGAAGGTGCGTAATTTTTCTTTGCTATCAACATCACGGCTTTTGAAATCGCGCACAGCTACGATAATAGCGTTTGTATTTTTGACACTCGGAAGCCGCTGGTACCGCTCGTTCAAGGAGATGTCGGAGGGGGTGCGTGGCGTGTCAAGTGGCATCCGTCGCCCAGTCGTAAGGAGGATCTCCTCGTTGCAAGTATGCACGACGGTTTCAAGGTGGCGAGGGCCCACAACGGAGAACATGCAACGTGGGAAGTTGTGAAGCGGTTTGATGATCACAGGTCGCTAGCATACGGCGTAGACTGGTCATTTGCCCCTCCAGGTGTAGATGGGGAAACATTGATCGGGAGTTGCTCATTCTACGATCACATGTTACACCTTTGGAGCAGCTAGTTAGCAAAATGTAAGTGAGATAATCGGAGATGCGTAAGGATATTGACTGGAAATGTTTTTATGGGGTAATCAGGAGTATATCTGGGCGAAGATCGTAAAGTACGCGGGAAAAAGGGCGTGATCTAGATCGAAGATTGGTAGTGACATGAGCAAACTCTCCCAAAATACTCCAGTCCCAGAGTCGAATTGCCGCGGATTAAGTTGGTATTGTGGAACGTCTTACAAACGATCGACGCTTTGCGTGGAGATTGAGTTGGAGGACGGAGAGATAGGCGTCTGAGGACAAGTCTCAATCTGTTCTTTACGTTTCTTCCAGAACTCAGCATTTGACCCTTTCATGACAAAAGCTAGGGTCCATCGCGACAGACCTCTCAGAGATTCTGGTTCATGGACTGCAAGAGTGAGCAGTGAAGCCAGCGACAGAACAAATACGATTCTGTTGCATTCCATCAGCATCACAAGGAAAATGCTCTTTAAGAATACTAACCGCTCAGCTAGCCTCGCACCAGCATGATTACCTGCAGTCCACTTGGCCGGTAAAAATGCTTTAACGGCTCTGGGCAACACATATAACGCCATCTCTCCCCTTCTCCGCGTGTTTTCAATGAGTATACTCCAACCGCACGTTAGTGATCCCACGAGAATACTACCGTATGGCCCATCCCACACGTCATGAGGGATCCATGGAAACAGCTTTGCCAGCACTAAGGTACGTGTGAGACAGGCAGCGAAGAAATATGACGACAGGAAAGTGGAGAGGAATGTCGCACTGCGGATCGCAGCCAGGAGAGCGGGAATGGCGCGATGACGCTGGAAGATGGAGCTAGGGCGAGTAAAAAGGAGAGGGAGAAAGTGAACCTTCAAAGACGATTAGCGGTGCAATGCAGTGCACTCCAGGCCATACACTTACAGGCAGGTATAGAGCCATAGCCTCAATGAACGCCAAGGAAAATCTCACGCCAACATTTGCTAAACAGCTGTTGTCGAGACCCCACCGCGTTGTAACACGGGAATGCAGGAGCTCGCAGGGCAATCCGCCCACACCACCCCGGCCAGGCACGCCAAGCGCCTTCCAGACCATATCTGCACCTGTACCACATGCAGGCAAGACATGTGGATTGCCCCAAGATGAAGGGTATCCGCGGTCCTTGGCATAAGACATCAAGAGGTGAGAATGGGAGGAACTGTGCCCATAGACCCATTCTTTAGAACGCATAACACGCAAGGCGTCCAACAGCCGTTTGTCTAGGTTGGCTAGGGATGATATCCTGATAAGTGATTGATCATAAAACGATGAGCGAGAGCTTCCCGACATAATGATTGAATGATATCTAACCATTTCACGTAAGAAGGGGGAAGTCTGTAAAAAATGGATTTAGACATTAATCTATTTTGTTTTATTGCTAAGCACCTATGTGGCTGGTAGAAGAAACACCACATGATTCTGATGTTGCACAAAGGTTTGAATATATATATGTTGACATAAAGAATGCTACATATCACGCACCTAGCACTGCAGGCCCAAAATACAACGGCATCCAGCCATACAGCTATACTTCGATGATATTTCTTGGTTTTCCCATCGCCTTCAGCAGGCAGTAGTAAATCAGTAGATGGTCCAACTGGCTTCGATCGATTTGCAGAAATGTTGAATAGGTCAGCTCTCCGGGCTGATGGCACGAATAAGAAATGCTGCATGATTGCGTCGGTTGCACGACAGAAAAAGAGGAGCGTTAATCCAACGGTTGAGAATGGTTGACGCGACCCTGCTTTGGATAGTCGAGTCCTTTGGAGCAAGAACAGCGCGATTGTCGAGGACAAGATATTTGACAGGAACGCTTTCTGAGAGGGCGTTGAGTTGGACATGCCTGAGCATGCCTGAGCTGCAAGCGATAGGGCTGTTGCGCGTCGTTGGAATGTGGAAGCCATCACTGGCTGTTGTCGAACTTCTGGATCGTCTTGTTTATCGACATTGTGGACACGTATCGCTTCCAAGAGGTGCCTCAATGCAATTCCACCACAAATGGCTACTGTGATGGCGAACGGAAATCCTGTAAGGCCCACTTCGCGCCTCAACACGCGCCTGAATGAACCCAAACGAGTTTCCAGACTGGATGAACGATTGACGAGGGTAAGAGCAACTGGAAGTAGTGCAGGACCAAGAGAGAGAGATAGGCTGAGAGAATATGTACGAAGGGCGACCTTCACCGGATGACTTGGGTCATCTGACCAGAGATTCTTCGGATTGATATTTCTCCATGATGTCTTACTATGATCCGAATCTGGTTCAGTAGGCTCAATGACCCGAGGAGACGGCGCTGACATGAAAGCGCTGTAGAAGGACTCGGGTTTGAAAACGACGGGTGTTGCACTCACATGCAACTTCACTGCTGTACAGTATTTACATATATTACGATTAGCATAACGATATGATCTGTATGGTGATCTCCGTGGAAGTCACGCCACTCTCGCGGGTAACTCTGTAACAACCTCAATATAATTTACCACGACATCCTCATCAGAGAGCTCTTCCTTCTAGTCCTTGGCCCCGACCCAACTCGATTCTGTTTAATCATCCTTATCGAATACTTTGCCTAAGCCCTTCGAGTAGCTCCAGAAGTCAACCTCGGTGGAAGAGAACCCGTCTCCAAGACTTCGCACTAATTCATGAGCCAGACCGGCACGTTTGACAAGATCGATGAACTGGGCTCTTGAATCTGGGAAGACAAACAACCGGAGTACTGCATCTCCCTATAAAAGTGATATCAAACGATGATACACTTGTCAATGGAAATGCATACGTGGCTCTGGAGAAGTGCTCCCAAGTATTCTAGAGGTGGAGTTTGGATGTCCGAGCCATCATTTTCCAACCTCATCGGTAGAGAAAATTTAGATTCAGGAAGCTTCCCTTTGTCCCCCGGATGGTTATCGGAAACATCAGAGAGGTATGGCGAAAGCCACATGCGCCAGAGTTCAAGTTTGCGACCATCCCGACCGAGCCTTCGCATCAGTCGATGACAGCGCACCCAGTCTTGTTCACTTCCTTCCCATTCCAGGTTGACCGAGCGAGCGAGCTTGTCAAGCGTGATCTCTGATTGAGGGTAAGCGAGAGAAACAAAGCTTGTATCCAAAGGCTGGTCAGACAGCCTGCTCTTGCTAGTGGAAGGACTTAGACTTCCCTCCGAGTGCGCTATTGCATGCTGTGCCGGACGCATCATCAATCTTACCCATCGTCTTCTCCGTACCCAGGCACCAGTGCTTAGTTTGCCAATCTCTGCGTGCCAGTGTTTCTCCCGGAAAAACCAGTTGTACTCAAAACCGTCGTATTGAACTTCTCCTGAGTCTGTGCGCATGTCAATCATCCATGTTCTGGAAACCCAGCGCCAAGTGCCATCGGGCAGGGGATAATTGGAAAGAGAGATATTGGGTTGTCGGGATTGTTTCAAAGAATCGGACGGGGTAGTGAATTGTGGAGGATCGATAGGAAGCAGTGATAGGGGTGAATAATACGGGGACGAGAGTACGGTGAGGCTTGGGATGATAGTTACAGTCTGCCACACATAAGGAGGTGAATGATATACATACCCTCTTTGATTTTCATATACAACAGCCCAACGATAATCGTCCTTATTAATGCCAGGGATATCTGAGATACCTGAGATGTCCAAAGTGATTATGGTAGTATTATCGTTGGTTTGTTCGAGGGCCGGTAGTTGTTCTATGGACTTGTTTGAGCTGTCTGCCTCAGCTTCTGAATCCGCTGGTTGTGGTTTGTGATGCCTAGAGCGGCAACAGGAGAAAAGGTTTGGAAGGAAAGAAAATATACTTAAACGAGTCTTTGGAGCCAACCGACGACGTGCTGGTTCTGCGGCTGAAGGATCATCGAGCGTTAATATTGCCTGAGGAGGAGCAGGCCACTGAGGCCCGGCCGGCGAGCACAAGTCCTGGATTTGGAGCTCAGCGGTAGCGCTAGTACTGCTCGACATTGTGAGGACGAGTGATGATCAAGTTGTCCGAAGGCTCGCCTACTAGCAAGTACTCAGTGTGATATCCTTCACGCTGCACGTGGTGCTGGTGTTCTAGTAGTACTTATAAGTCCTATATATATAAACAATGACGAAATTGTTCCAAAAGGAAATTTCCATGCTCCATGCTATTCATTTCCATCTCTTAGCTTAGTAAACAAGTAACCCTCATCCGAATGTTCCGTCTTTTCCTTGTCCGTGCGGTCGCTGCTGCTCAAGCAACTCATCGACCGTTGGCGTTGTCGAACGGATATTATGCAAGAGCATTCACCGACAAAGCTGATTCATCTTCCTCACGGCATTCCGTGATCACTTCATTAACCAGGACGTGTCCATCATGTGGGACTATTCTTCCAACTGCGTTGCCTGCCTGTCCAAACTGCAATTATATTGCAAGGATCCACGACTCAATATCATACCACGATATACTGGGTCTTCCTTATGAGCCTAACCCGTTTGTGGTGGATGCTGCACTCCTTAAACGCCGTTTCATCGAAGCACAGAGAGTTTCGCACCCAGACGCATGGGCAACTAAGAGTGATGTGAGTGATTCTACGTACAGTACTAGCAAAAATTTATTCAGCAGTTCCAACGAGATATTGCACTTCACGTGTCGAATACGGTGAACGCTGCGTACAAAGCACTGTCGTCACCCTTGCATCGTATAGAATATATTTTGCAGCGGAATGGCCTCATGACTGAAGAAGCAGATCCATTAGAGGATATAGAACTCATTAGCGAAATCATGGAAGTTCGAGAGGAGATTGAAGCTGGGGACATCGAGCGAATTCGCACCTTAGAAGAGGACAATGATAGTGAGTTTTGTCATTTGTGAACGTTTGGCAGGTACTGACACTTGTGGTCACAGACAAAATTAGTGAAGTTGTGAGCGCAGTCACAAAATTTGTAGCTCAAAAGAACTGGCAGGAAACCAAAGTCGCAGCAGTGCGACTGAAATATTTGAATGGAATTGCAGACGCTCTCAAGCAGCGATTAGACAACATGTAATTAGACTATACACCACATCCTTGTTGGCACAAAAATTGGATATTTATATGATCAAACTCGATCTAGCTCCCTGTAAGGTCTGTCTGTCCAGACTCAAAAATGCCTTCGGATAGAGTTCCTGGACCCGGGAGTCCCGCTTCTCTATACACGTGACGTATAGGAGCCAAAGAAAGGTGTCCCCCCGGGCCGGGAAGGCACCTCTTTTTGGGAAGTTGACCCATTAGTTTCGCCGAGCACTATGATGTACCGATATTGGTTATCCATCGTAACGGCGCCTGTGCGCCAATCCCCGACTCCGAATGGACAGTATCATGTAGAAGACATATATTCTCACGAATATTAGAGTACAAATTTCGAGCAAGAATATCAAGAAAAGGTACAATTCATGGATTGGTTATACAAGTGTTGAGCGCAGAACACCAAGTCATGGAGTCTATTCTTCCATGTACTCAAGCTCGTCTCCAACTCCAGCAGAGAAGGACCCTTTTTTGGCTGGCGACTAACCCATTGCCTCTGATGCCTCATCCGTAGCCTTCCTTTTCTCCCTACCATCTTTGATTGAGTTGATGAAGGCAGCCTGCATGTATGTAGATATTGTGTTATATTACCCTATCAAGCTGCTATTTTTTCATCAAGCATATCTGGCTTTAGATAGGCAGCTTCTGATGGGAGAAGCCACCATTGATAACAGTATGTCCAGGCATGATATTGAGTTACATTTCCATATCAAGCTGCTATTTTACCATCAAGCATGTCTGTGGTTATAGAGACAGTCTCTGATGGTGAGACATATAATTGCTGACTAGAAGCTCAGGTCTCACAATGAGTTATCAAGCCACATCAAAATGGCAGTTTTTGATCAAGCATGTCTGGCTTTAGATACGGTGCTGATATTTTGGTCACATATCTTATAATTTCACATAATATCATCTTCACAGATACAGTGCAGCATGCATCAATTAAATAAATAGGGTATACAGACTGTACATATACTATTTATGAGAAACATTCAATTAATTTATGCCAGCAGTAGCTCGCTCTCGAAGAGCGGCACGTCTCTCTCGAATTTTTGCGAGCGCACTGTTTTTACTAATAGTGCACCACAATGACGAAGAATTAGGGAAAATGCGACTGTTCAAAGTGTTAGATTAGAGCATGAATTTTGTGAGATATAATTACGAACCGTGTCCACCATACCATGAGGTCATTTACTTCCTCACTTTCATCAGGATCTTCCAACAGATCCAAAATGCTATGATAGAAGTTTTCGGAGTCGGTCACCGTGTTGGTACATGAAAATACGGACGACAAACTCAACGAAAATAGAACCTTAAAAAAACAAAAATTAGGAGAGGTATGCGGTATCAAATTTGCTACGTACTTGCGTAGCAATATAGGCCAAGGATCCCTTGGTTACAGACTTCATACTATGTAGGTATGCATTGCCAGAGCACGTAGCCTTTGGCTCTTTATCTACTGAGCTTGGGGATGTAAAGATGTGTTTGAAACCCTATGAAAGGGACATTGCCATAAGTAAGATATCGTCAGGAAGAATGAACTTATGAAAATGAGAATATCGCTTCTCAATAAACCCCTCCATGGATCTTCGGGATCATAAGCATAGCCTGTGTATAAGAACACAGGCCATTGATCACCACTGACTGCAGTTTCACCACTCTTGAGCTTTGCCTTGGTTCTGGGTGATGTTAGAGCATTTCCATTATTTTATGATGGAAGGACTTACTCTGCATCCAACCAATCAAGGCCTGTGGGGCAAAGCAACATGCCAGTTACTTCATGATTAAATCCTCGGTCAGACTTTATATTTCGAGAGAGAGGGGGTATGACTACTTGGCCTCTGGGAACAAGCCATTCAAGGACAGTAGATTTGAGGGTTTTAGTATCGTCGCCTCATGCGCCAGAGGCCCCTTTACCCAGCTGCAGTAGAAGTGAGTATAACGACCTTCCATTACTGAATGGCTGACCAATTCTCCTACATGAATAAGATCTTCTTCCTCCCCATTTGTCAGACGATCTAATAGACCAGGATAGGACTCTACTAGCATCATGAATACTATATGTTCTCGTCGAACACTGATTAACAATACTTTAAGTGCTTGCAACATCTGAGCGTTACAATTGTACTCACTCCGCTGGATAGTCCTCTATGGGACAATCAGGCGATTCTTCGAGTCGGAGTACACCTGCTGTTAGAAGGGCAGGATAGTTGCACAATGCAAAGACCGTTCGACCAAAATGTCGTCCATGAAGAATAAGGGGATTCGACGAACTCCTGAATCAAGACAAATCAGGGGATCCATCACTGTTCGAAAGACCACTTACACTTTTTTACGTGGAGCCATATAAAGTGCTGAGCCAGTGCGCTTGCGTGAAGGATCGCCAGAGAGATGGTTCTCATCGCCACTCATACTTGAAATTGAACTAGGTAGCTATCATACAAGTAGTAAAATGTGACACTTTATATATCAATACTTAGCACGCGATGGAGCAGATGAACTGGGCGAGTGCCATTGATATCATAATCAAAAATTGGCCCGCCATCCGAATGCCATCAATATCGTAACTAAAAAAATGCTCCACTGTCTGAGTGCCATTGATGTCATAACGCAAGAAAACACGTCACCTAACATAAGTATCGTAACAATGAAAATTCTTCCACCGAATTTCAGACAAGCCTCAGCCATTCGTCCGAGCGCCATGTAATACTAAAAAAAACCATCATCTTAGCACCATAAACATTGACACTAATTAAAAAAAACTTCCAATGAATTTCAGATGGTCTTCGAAGCGCCATAGATACCGTTATCAGGATGCTGTGAACAGAAACAGCTGCAAGAAAGAGCAGGGGGTCCTGCCAGACCACCGTGGTCTGACTCTAAATCAATTCCACACAAGAGGAACAAAGGACTATGGGAGACTACGGGATACTATACACCATCTATTTGTCTCCACTATGTTTGTCTCCACCCACCCAATTCTTGAGAAATCCCCCAACAACTGTTTTCGCCAACCACCCAACAAGGATCACCACTGTAGTAAAGACAGGATGACAGTCGAGCACGACTGTGAGGAAATCGTTCAGTAAATGCGAATTGTAGAAAATATAGACAAAAACAAACCACAAACTCCAAATCCAGTCGCCATTCCACCCAAAACATTCCTAACGACCCACTCACAATCTACTTTGTCCTCATCCCATATCTCGAGGGCCCGTGTAACAAGAGAGCTGCTGTAGTATGAAGGATCCCAATAGTATGGAGAACCTCCAGGTTTAGACGCTGAAGGGCGCCATATCATGAGCAAGAACAGAAGGAAAAGCTTTGTGAGGGAAGAGTAGAAAATTGCCAGAGGGATAAGCGAGAACCTAGGCTTGCAATTGAGGTATCCATTACTACTAGGAGCAAACTCCGAGACTCACCTGAACTGTTGTCGAACACCTGATATTTCTACTGGCGAGGTACTTCTCCTTGAGCGAATGATATCTAAGAGTGCAAGTACAAAATACGATGCAAACATCACTCCATGAAATGCAAATATTCCTGCACGAGCTATCAGCATAACACTCAATAAAAAAAACAAGCATGGCACCTATAATGCATCCAATGATGATCCGGAGGAAGACAATGTTGGTTTCAACTGTCCACCATGATACATCTGCAGATATCTGAGGATCTAATGACCATGAAAACACTGACAACCTTTAAACAAAAAATAAAGCTGACTGACATGTGCCCATCAAATAACTAAGATAAATGAGCCAGAGTGTACAGTGGGACTCGTGGCCGATGAGTTCACGTACATGCATCGACAGTGATAAGCCCGCAAGCAAGCTTCAAAATCAGCCACCATCTGTCCTACAAGCCTAGTGCTTAGCACCATGGACAATATCATACATGCCAGCGGTTATTCGTGCTTGAATATGTTGTAGATAGATGAGTAAAGAGATAAGGTAAAGAGAAGTCACATACCGGTAACTGGAACACAGCATGACATGGTGGGCAACATGCTGGTGGTTATTCGTGCTTAAATGTGTTGTAAATAAATAGGAAACTAGAACTATGTTGAATGCACAGCAACACAGCATGAGGTGTTGGATGCAATGGCACCCGAAAATGGCAATATTATATATGCATATGAAAATGTACACTCTACAGTACTTAGACAGTTCCGGTTTGTTAAGGTAAACTACATGTTGAAAGTTCGAAAGGAAAGCCATCACTCACCGGACGCGTCAATTATAGTGAATGGCTATATTCAAGCTCAGACAATTACTAAGCGGGTATTCCCGTTTGAGTGCGGACACGTCAATTATATCAAGCTCAGACAATTACTAAGCGGGTATTCCTGGCTGAGTGTGAATGTGTAGTCATTCAGTATATCAACTGTAGCTTCTGCTAATGATGTCTCTTTTTCTGACCCTTATGTTTGACTTGGAGTAAGTATGACTACAGTAGGCAGTAAAGAAGCTTAAAAGTCAGGAGTTCGTGTTATTTTTGGTACATGGTGTGATTCGCACGGGAGTCATGTAGCAGATTAACTAGTGGTCAGTGGTCAGTGGTCACCTAGAGCTCAGAGTATTCACCGCCACGGCATACACAGTGACAATGATCATTTTGTCACTGTACCATTGTGTTACTGTGGCTGCAAGACTTAATGTATTTGCTAAGCGCCTGGTACTACTAGCCACAATTAGTCATTCACTATAAATACTGATCATCTGCATCTGAAGGTCTTCTTTCTCACTACTCCAACACGCATCTACTACTACTAGTAGGAATAGTCAAGTATAGCTTATCTGAGTCCAACAGACTTTGAGTTCATTACAATTAGAATTGTATGTGTTATTTTGCGTTCGCTATCATGATAGATACAAAATTAATCATGTACACTATATAGACTCGGAACTTTGACGCGCAAGATGGAGTCATGGTCCAATTTGAAACGTGCACAGGCGCCGGCATCATCAAATGATGATGAACCTAACTCGAAACGCATGAGAAGTGAAAGTAAGTTGGGGTTTTGCCATACTGCCAATATGGTCACTGATGGATCATACTTAATCAATGATACAGAAAGTCGGGTGGCGCCATCACCACTAGAGGATGAAGGCGCATGGCGCATTCTATTTCAATACCTTACCACTCAGATGACTTACCCTCAGATGGAAGAGGAATTTTCATCTTACCTGGGTGATAGATACTGTGCAGACGACTGGAAGGATGCTCGAGCTGCATTGTTCTCTGCTGACGACTTAAATGATGATGCGACTCCCTTGGCCAATCTTCGGGCCTTGTATGCTAAACATGTAGTACCTCGGTCTTCTTCACCATCGGATATAGTGAGTTCACTGGAAGATTCTTCCTTAGTTGCAATTGCAACAAGGGTGACTGGACACTTGTCAGCCCACACCCACAAGAGTCGTCATCGATCACGTCAACGAGTCAGAGTAAGTAAAATCATAGTTCTGGTAAATACATGATTGACAGGTGTAACTAAAGAATCCCTACATCGACGCCGAGGCAGAGGAGGACTCGACCGAGGAGGAGGAGGAGGAGGAGGAGGAGGAGGTAGATAGTAACTGTTTGGCACGGCCACCGCCCGTTGGTACAAGCTTCTCAGGACCTTCGGCCAAACAGACATTTTTTTCGGCGATCGACAATATCTTTGACAAGGTTAAGACCTCAAAGTTATCGGATATACGTGTTCCTTACAGGGCGGCCTGGTCCCCTGGCACGATTCAAAACAGAATGTACTTGCTCCATGTTCACAGTATGTTTTCTAATTCCCTAGCACTATGTCATTCATCATTTCGCAGGAACTGCAACGGTCTTTATCACCGAACACCTCCGGAAGAAAGGACTTGCTGTTACCATCTCATCCTGGATCCCAGGACAGCTGTACGTGGTGGCAGATAGCCCGAAAACTATCTCGTCATTGCTTCCAGATGCGCATAGATACTCCATTCGAGATTATCTTTGTATCTCGGACGAAGAGCGTGAAGCAGTCGAGCGTGCACGCGCCAAACTTCCGAACCCAGGATGGGTGCGGATCACACACGGCAAGTACAAAGGTGATATAGGCTATGTTTACGATTCTGAGCAGTTGAACGATTTTGTTGTGGTCTTGATCCCTTCACGGGACTTGCCCTATCCCGTGCCTCAGACTTCTGCCGTGTTGTTTCAGTGATCTCGACTTCCGGCCAACAAGACAATATCCGACATTGTTCGTGATGGGGAGGTGATCGGATGCTCGTACAAAGGCGAACAATATTACATGGGGTTGTTACTCAAGAACTTCCATCGGCATGGCCTAGAGATTGTCACCACCCCTCATCCTGATTACATTTGGCTGCATCTGCAATCCAGATGGGACACACGCTTCATCAAGACCGCTGAATTAGCGTTCTCTATGCAATTCCTGCATGTAGGTGATGAGGCGAGGGTTGTCACCGGAGAAATTCATTCAGAGATTGGAAAAGTAGTCTCCACAAACCATGCATTTGGTAGTGTGTGCTTGGAACTCTTGGTCGAAGGATGTCAAAGATAAATGGACTTTCGATTCCGAGATGTAGAACATGTGTTTTGGCTCGGCGACTCGGTTCGAGTTGTAGCGGTGTAGAGACTCGTGCGTCTCATGGTCTGATATGGCGCTTTACACTAGGAAGTACATAGCACGAACTTGTAGCGTCACTCTGTGCACTACCCACAGCTATCTCTATATGACGCGCAGCTTTCCCGCACAACGCGCGCCATGCGCGCACCATTCCTGCGCTTCGCGATGTATACGCGCGCGCGTTCCTGCGCTTGCGCGCCCTATGGCGCCAGCCATCCAGAAGCATCCATCCACTGTCCACCAAGCTCCCTAGTACGTATATTTCCATTTCCTTTATTAGCATAGTTCCACCTTTATTTTTATCATGGATTCTCACTCATATATATCTTTACATACCTACTCGGTAGCGCTTCAGCTCCGCATGACCGCGCTTAGGCGCGCTATATAAGCGCCAGCAGTACATACTATTAGGAAGGGACTTTTACCTCCCAATTACTGGTTATCACTTACTTACTACTTAGCAGAATATAGTAGAAGTCTATTTGTCTATACTTCGCATCTCCCTTCTCTTTTCTTGCATTATATTATCACTTGAGTCTAGTCTTTATCATTTTCCGCATATGCACGCGCGCGTGTTCCCGCGCCTTGCGCGCACCTGCGCTTTCTCGCGCTTCGCTGAAGCGCGTACCTCTAGATCTTGGCTGCACTCGCTTCCCCTTTAGGGTCGAACACACTTGTCTCCTCAAGTAATGCAGGCTAGGCAACGCACGACCTTCAACTATTATAGATACAGCTAGGAGCATTATTTGTTCCTCTCTGTATTGTTGTTTCTACAGCGGGTGCATATTTGGGTTTGGAAGGTTACATCATTCAAATGTCCAGTGATATATTTCACTTTTGTCAAGAGTCAACCAAGGAAGAGGTACGTATGAACATATGATGTTTTGATCCTATCTAACACTTCGTATAGGTCGAAGTTTTCAAGTACTATCTGGATCGTCGTCCCCTGACCCACGTACTGCAAACACAGCAACTTTATGAGCCCCCCCCCCAGAAATTGAATCTCTTGAAATTGGAGATGATGTAGAGGTGCATGGGGGAGAGTATGCAGGCAAATGCGGCAACATCAGTTGGTTTGCTCCTGGAGCAACTTCAGTCCTATATTTACAGTTGGACAACACTCAGATGCTTGCTTCAATGCCAGTGATAATTGAAGTTCTTTCAATATGGGTTCAGCAGATTTGCCTCGCTCCAACAATAAAATACACGAAGGACAAGGGATATAATGTGAGGCCTGGAGACTTCGTGAAAGTCGCTCCTGGGCCCGAGTATCAGACTACAGGGGTCATTCAAAGCATTGACTTTCCAACGGCTCGCTTGACCCTACTGTCTCAGACTGACGAATCACTTGTAAGTTCAGATAAATTTGACTGGAACTCCTCTGACTGGTAACAGATCAACGTTCCTATAAGGTTTGTGGTGAAGATGCATAACACAAGCTTGGATACCTTCAAGGATGCCATCAGCAAAGAAGTGTTCATAATTGGAGGTGAGCAGAAGGGCTACTGAGCTATGCTATACGATATGGGGAGCGAGACTTGCACTGTTGCTGTCCATGGGCAGAAGCGGATATCACTCAAACGCTCTCATGTTGCCACTAGGTGAGCTACGTCTCATGTTTTTCAGTGATCTAATTGCTCATGGTGACTCAGTTATGGAATGCGGCTGAACAGTGCAATACTTGAAAAGCACGACTTGATTTCGTTCTGTGAAATACGGCGAAAATCATATCTAAAGCCACCCCCTCGAAGTGTTACTCCTCCACCCAAGAAAATAGCTCCCTGCTGCTCTATCCCACATCCCAACATGCAGTCTTCCAGCACCCTGGGCAACTGGTCCACTAATACCGAAGATATCGACAGGGCGGTCGACTATTCGTTGGTCGTCAATTCAACTACTTCATCCAAATCAACTTTGGACCCCTGGACTGTCAGTCCAGAAGATAACGAGGCTGGACAGGAGACAATTCAAGACGACGGTGAGTGCTTAATAGAAATATCACAACATTTAACTAATTTCATCATAGGCCCGCTGCCTTGGCTGATGCGGAAGGAATTTTCTTCGACTTTTCTTATGCACCACGCACTGTTGAAAGTCTCGCCAAGCTTTATGGGGGGGAGATTGCACAAACAATTCGTCTCAACAATGTGTCCCGACCCCTTTCGCGGTGTGAATGGACCTGCTGTAGAGACTCATGCCTCTCATGGTGTGATATGGCGCGTTACACTAGGAGTACATAGCACAAACTTGCAGCATCACTCTGTGTGCTATCCACAGATATTCCACTATGAGGCGCAGCTTTCCCGCGCAACGCGCGCCATTCCCGCGCTTCACGATGTATGCGCATGCACGCGTTCCCGCGCTTGAGTGCCCTATAGCGCCAGCCATCCAGAAGCATCCATCCACTGTCCAAGCCCTCTAGTGCGTATATTTCCATTTCTTTTATTAGCATATCATTCCACCTCTATTTTTATAATGGACCCTTACTTATATATATCTTTACATACCTACTCGGTAGCGCTTCGGCTCCGCATGACCGCGCTTAGGCGCGCTATATAAGCGCCAGCAGTACATACTACAAGAGGGAGTTTTTCCACTTACTTTTCACTTACTTTCCCTTTAACTTACTAGTTACCACCCACCATTTTACTTAGCAGAACATAGTAGAAGTCTATTTGTCTACACTTTGCACCTCTCTTCACTTATCTTGTATTATATTATCACTTAAGCTTAGTCTCTCTATCATTTCCACACGTGCGCGCTGTCTTCTTAGATAGATGATCTATAGATAAACACCTATAAAACAAATATCTCCACGGTCAGCGATTCAGACAAATACCAATGACTGATAACGTGGTCGTTCGTGGGTGGCTAGTTGTATACTACCCAAGGTATGTTCAGCTAAGGATACTTCTGCAAGATCAGTAATACGATGGTCAATCCAATCTTTGGACTTGACAGGAAAACAAACAAACAATGGTCAGCCCGACAGTATGGCGATGACCAAAAGAATATACAGGTTTCTTCCTCAAGTTCCCTTTCAACAACAGTGCCTCGTGCCAACTATACTCCAAAAGAAATGGTGCGGAATTACAATGATAAACTCCCTCAGCACAAAACAGGTAGAATCAAAGGTCAAGACTAATCAGATGCTTTATTGTAGAACTCTTAGCTCAATATTGAACCTGCTGTCAAGGAACTCTTCTTTGAGTATTCAAACAGACTCAGGAACGGACGTCCTTGGGTTTACTACCAAGTCCCCTCTTCAACGGCTAAAGCCTAGCAGGCACAGAATATCTTGGCTCAGTATCACTACTCAGATGAGTGAGGTCAAGCTTCACTATCAATTCCTAAAGTCTCCCCACTATGCTACTACTGAGTCTTAGGTGGACGTAGAGACAACACGAATATTTTGGATCAGTATTTTTGGACAAAGAACACCAAAGGTCAGTGAAAGTAAAAGAAAAGAAAAAGAATAATAGAAATCAGAATAAAAGTGTGGCTGTACCTTGCTTGCTGGTTGTTGCACACAGTGAGCTCACAGCGGGTCGTTCAGTATGATGAGCTTGCAGTATTACTGTCTCTTGAGAGTGTTCCTCTCAGTCTTGAAACAGTTCTTGACACTGGTACTGACACTTATCACACCTTACTTCACAACTTAGTGTTAGTTGGGCTGAGAAACACCCTACTACCTGCTGGTATCTGCTTTTTATTATTTCAAAAACTGAGGTCATTATATACACAATAAATGTGGCTGTGCTACTAGTGTATTCAAGAGTCATCAAGAGTCATAATGAGTCATATGTGCAAGGTGAGTCATAGTGAGTCATAGTAAGTATCTAGAGTGAGTCATAGTGAGTCATTGGGTATTTGCTAAGTCATGTGACCTGTCCAACCCCTGATGACAAATCCAGAAGGAGAGTAAGAAGTGTCACATGATATGAATCCTGTGCGTGGCTGTCTTTGCTTTGCTTTGTTTGAAGGGTGAGAATGACGCGAGCCTAGTATTTAGGGGTTTACTAATGTTTTTCCAGGACAACATATGTGGGAAATATTTTTCACAGTCACCTGACATGTGTGGGATTTTGTCTGGGTCATCACCATGGCTGACTAAGCAAAACTCATCGCAGAATTAAATGTACTAAAATATTCAGGCTGCTGGCATATAAACTTGAAAAAATAAAAAGAAAAGCAAAAAATATTCCCTTAGCCTCAGTCCAACTTCAGATAAAAGGGAAAAGGGTTTCATAGTGGTATTTCAGGGTATTTGACTCATGAGAGAGTATTGGTCGTCCATGCACCGAACCGGTTTGGTGCAGGTCAGCGCACGCTTTCCCGCGCTTCGCGCTAATATGCGCGCGTGTTCCTGCGCCTTCGTGCCTTGCGCACACCTGCGCTTTCTCGCGCCTCGCTTCAGCGCGTACCTCTAGATCTTTGCTGCACTCGCTTCCCTTTAGGGTCGAACGCGCTTGTCTCCTCAAGTAACGCAGACTAGGCAACGCACGACCTCACAACATTTATAGATACAGCTAGGAGCCTCATTGTTCCTCTCTGTATTGTTGTTTCTACACCACACCCGAGAATCACGTTGCAGCATTCTGCATGTCCAACGGCGCAGGCACCGCTGACCTGCACCAAACCGGTTCGGTGCATGGACGACCAATACTCTCTCATGAGTCAAATACCCTGAAATACCACTATGAAACCCTTTTCCCTTTTATCTGAAGTTGGACTGAGGCTAAGGGAATATTTTTTGCTTTTCTTTTTATTTTTTCAAGTTTATATGCCAGCAGCCTGAATATTTTAGTACATTTAATTCTGCGATGAGTTTTGCTTAGTCAGCCATGGTGATGACCCAGACAAAATCCCACACATGTCAGGTGACTGTGAAAAATATTTCCCACATATGTTGTCCTGGAAAAACATTAGTAAACCCCTAAATACTAGGCTCGCGTCATTCTCACCCTTCAAACAAAGCAAAGCAAAGACAGCCACGCACAGGATTCATATCATGTGACACTTCTTACTCTCCTTCTGGATTTGTCATCAGGGGTTGGACAGGTCACATGACTTAGCAAATACCCAATGACTCACTATGACTCCCTCTGAATATATGACTCACTATGACTCACCTTGCACATATGACTCATTATGACTCTTGATGACTCTTGAATACACTAGTAGCACAGCCACATTTATTGTGTATATAATGACCTCAGTTTTTGAAATAAAAAAGAAGCAGATACCAGCAGGTAGTAGGGTGTTTCTCAGCCCAACTAATACTAAGTTGTGAAGTAAGGTGTGATAAGTGTCAGTACCAGTGTCAAGAACTGTTTCAAGACTGAGAGGAACACTCTCAAGAGACAGTTATACTGCAAGCTCATCATACTGAACGACCCGCTGTGAGCTCACTGTGTGCAACAACCAGCAAGCAAGGTACAGCCACACTTTTATTCTGATTTCTATTATTCTTTTTCTTTTCTTTTACTTTCACCAACCTTTGGTGGTCTTTGTCCAGAAATATATTTCCAAAATATTCGTGTTGTCTCTACGTCCACCTAAGACTCAGAAGTAGCATAGTGGGGAGACTTTAGGAATTGATAGTGAAGCTTGACCTCACTCATCTGAGTAGCGATACTGAGCCAAGATATTCTGTGCCTGCTAGGCTTTAGCCGTTGAAGAGGGGACTTGGTAGTAAACCCAAGGACGTCCGTTCCTGAGTCTGTTTGAATACTCAAAGAAGAGTTCCTTGACAGCAGGTTCAATATTGAGCTAAGAGTTCTACAATAAAGCATCTGATTAGTCTTGACCTTTGATTCTACCTGTTTTGTGCTGAGGGGGTTTATCATTGTAATTCTGCACCATTTCTTTGGAGTATAGTTGGTACGAAGCACTGTTGTTGAAAGGGAACTTGAGGAAGAATCCTGTATATTCTTTTGGTCATCGCCATACTGTCAGGCTGACCATTGTTTGTTTGTTTTCCTGTCAAAGTCCATAGATTGGATTGACCATCATATTACTGATCTTGCAGAAGTATCCTTAGCTGAACATACCTTGGATAGTATACAACTAGCCACCCACGAACGACCACGTTATCAGTCATTGGTATTTGTCTGAATCGCTGACCGTGGAGATATTTGTTTTATAGGTGTTTATCTATAGATCATCTATCTAAGAAGACATTACTGGAGCCCACCGCGAGGGGTGGTATTTTTAAGGTTGTCACTAACCTAATATATTCAGACCAGTCTTGTTACTGTATCGACATACACACTTTCACATCGCTTGACATCCATTGTCATCATGAGTACCCAACCAGCACATCCAGCACATCCAGCTAATCCTGTTAATCCAGCAAATCCTGTTAATCCAGCAAATCCAGCACCTGCCCAGCCTGCGGCTGCGCAACAGGCACTACCTAATCATCCGCCACTCATTCTACCATTGCCAGGAGGCAAACATGCCCCTGCTAAGTTCAAGGGAAAGTATAACCAAGTCAAGAAATTCATTCGTCACTATGAAAGACTATGTGACCAACTTCTAATCACAACCAACCAGGAGATGTGCGAGAATGTTACTTTGTACTGTTCCTCACGCATCACACGACTCATAGAAATATTACCAAGTTACAGAAGAAACAACTGGGCTGACCTAAAGGCAGACTTTATCAGCCTCTTTGATGCAGATCGGGACGCTAAGCGATATAAGGTTCGCAGTTTAGTAACCTTTGTCAACAAGCATCGGTCAGCATCTATCAGAACATTGTCAGATTGGAAGAAGTATATTCGGGATTTTGTAGCTATAGGAGGATGGCTACTAGCCAAGAACAAGATATCAAGCAATGACCATGCTACTTACTTTTGGAAAGGAATTCCTAGAACATTGCGCTCCAGAATCGAAACACGGTTATTGGCAACAACACCCCTAAGAGATATGACAATCCCTTTCACCTTCAATGAGGTATCCCAAGCAGCAGATAAGATTCTGCAGCGTGATCGCTTTGATACGGACCTAGTATATTCAGATACGGATAATTCAGATAGCAGCGACTCAGATAGTTCTAGTGGCACGGACTCAGATACTGAATCAAGTTCAGAATCAGACGAGGAGTATGACAGGAAGCTCAAGTCTGCAAAGAGAGCAAAGCATAAGAGGCACTTACCTAGTAAGACCATTATACGTAAGACTCGCTTTGAAGATGGAAGCTCCGATGATGAAACTCCTATTACTAAGACACAAAGAGCAGTTCACAGACAACGGGCTGCTAAGCAAGGCTCACAAGAAGAAGTAGAGAATTTGATTCAACAACTGGGAAGAATGAAAATAGGAGATGCTAACTATAGCACACTTTACTATCAAGCTATAAC